GTTGATATCCTTATAGGCATGGACGAAATGGACAAAATCCTACTAAATGGGTTAAGAAAGGGCCAACATGGCACTCCAATGGCGCAAAACACTGTGTTCGGTTGGGTATTGCTCGGGAACGCGGCCAATTTACTAAAGCAGCCCACATTAAAGGTGGGTAACTCAGCACTGTGCTGAGTTACTGTGCTGACTCTTAGAAATGTGCCGCACGCTCAGACTCACCTCTGAAAAAATTTGTAACTCAGTAACTCAGTTTATGTGCTGACAATGTATAGCTCAGTGTGCTTCAGTGTCGATATGGTAACTCAGTTGATGTGCTGACACTTGCATAGCTCGGTTCGGCTGCATTGTTTACAACTGTGTCGATGTGGTAACTCAATTGATGAGCTGACACATTCACACAATACGATCTTCCAAAAAGTACCATAATAGATGGCGTCACGAGACTTACCATCAGTTGAATATACGACTACCAAATTTAACAAGAAGCAAGGCGAATAGCCCAGTTATGCATACTTGCACTGCTATACCCTTTTTACGTAAAAGTCAAAACCAAACAGAATTCTACAAGTGAAGTGCTATGCGTTGGGTAACCGCTTACATGCATAGCCCATTTAACAGATTCTTATGTGACAACTCTCAAGCAAAACTAAGTAGGGAATTTATTCGCAAATGAACTCACCAGTTGAAATCAGCTTTCTAAAATTTTGCCGGCCAGCTACGAATAGAAGCTAAGGATAACCTTTTCTAAATCGATTTCGATTACTAACATCGTCAATAATTTCGATGCACATACCAATTGTGCGATAGCACACTTGTGCCAGCTCTCTGTGCTGACTCATTAAAGTGAGTTGGAGTTACTGAGTCAGCACACCAAAATTTACAGAGTTACCCACCCTTAGCCCACATCCATAACCACCTTACACTGTGACACGCAACTATCCGAGCTGGTCAACAAGTTCTGGGAACTCGAAGAGTTACGCCCGAGAAAGCATTACACTCCGGAAGAACTCACCTGTGAACAACTTTTCGAAGACACTACCAAGCGAGCTAACGATGGTAGATACGTCGTGCGCTTACCGTTGAAGAAATCCGTACCGATAGGTGAATCTAGAAGCATTGCAGTCCGAGCATTACTCCGAATGGAGAAGAGGTTTGCTGCTGACGAACAACTCTATCGAGAATATTGTAAGTTCATGGAAGAACTTCTTGACTTAGGCCATATGGAGCAAGCTGGTGCCGTTACAGGCGACACGTACTACATGCCGCACCACGCCGTGGTAAAACATTCAAGTGCCACGACTAAGCTCAGAGTAGTATTCAACGCGTCCATGAAGACGTCATCCGGAAACTCGCTCAACGATGCTCTGATGGTAGGGCCGCAGCTACAACAAGACCTATTCTCCATACTAGTTCGTTTCCGCACGCATCGCTATGGGCTGATCGCGGACATCGAGAAGATGTACCGCCAGGTTTACGTAGCAGAACAAGATGCTGACTATCAACGTATAGTATGGCGTGAGAACTCATCACAACCCATTCGCGATTATCGTCTTCTGAGAGTAACTTATGGAGTGGCTTCGGCATCGCATCTTGCTGTGAAATCGTTACATCGCGCTGCGCTGGATGCAGGCGATGCATATAAAGGGATCGCTGATGTCATTACAAGGGATTTCTACATGGACGATTTGTTAACGGGGTCGGACTCCCTGCATGACTTAATCACGCTGCAGAAAGATGTCGCCTTCGTATTGTCTAAGAGTGGTTTTGAACTGCGAAAATGGGCCACGAACTGTCAGCCGTTACGAGAACGAATACCGCACGTTTCCAAGCAAGTTTCGCATCTTTTAGCTGAAGGAAATGAAATCCGAACTCTGGGTTCCGTTTGGCACACCGATAATGATTTACTTTCTATTGCTGTCAATCTACAAGAATTGCCTGACAAGATCACAAAACGCGTGTTTCTATCCGACTCAAGCAAGATATTCGATCCGCTTGGATTAGCCGCGCCCTGTACAATTCGCGCTAAAATTTGGTTACAAAGGGTATGGCGTTCAAATGTAGATTGGGACGAGTTAGTACCACTGAATGTAGCAGAAGATTGGTTGGCGCATCGAAGTGAGTTACCTAAACTTGCATCGCTTAAGCTGAAGCGTTGGCTGGGCACGGGCTCAGTGGTCGACGCGGAATTCCATATCTTTACGGACGCTTCGGAAGCTGCTTATGCGGCTGCGCTTTATTGCCGGACGCAAAACGCAAACGGTGAGATAGAGGTGGTATTAGTTGCCGCCAAAACCAAGGTAGCGCCTGTGAAGGTCATTTCGTTGCCGCGCTTAGAACTATGCGCTGCTCATCTAGGCGCAAGGCTGGTACGGCAAGTTCGATCTAGCCTCGCCTGTAAGCTCGGTAAGCTGTACGCGTGGACAGACTCCACAGTTACGTTAGCGTGGTTACAAGGTACTCCAAGTCGCTGGTCCGTCTTCGTTGCAAATCGCGTTGCGGACGTACAGGAAGTGTTGCCGGCAAATCACTGGAGACACGTCGCGTCGGAACATAATCCTGCTGATTGCGCTTCGAGGGGCATCACGCCTTCTCAGCTGCTCGCGCATCCTCTATGGTGGCATGGGCCGCATTGGCTGCGAG